TATGAAATGTGTGAGACGCTGATTGACGCGTGTAATAGCAATCTTTAAGCAGATATGGTCAAACATCGAAGTAGTGTGTAATTGACATAGCTTTAAAAAATTTGGTGTATAATATTATTCCCGTCTTTAACAGGTGTATAAGAGGGATTTGGGGACAAGGTCAATGGGTAAAGTATGTATTTTGCCAACTTTAAAAAACGCATTTAGTCAAAATTATGCATTTGTTCATTAATGGTTTTTGTTCCTTAAATACTTATACTTTCTTTATTTCAATTTATGTAAATCTATTTTTATTTTGGTCTGTTTCAAAAAGAATGACTATTTTTTAAATTTGGATACAATTTAACTTAAACTTCCAATTGTATTTTTAATGAGAAGTTTTTATAACTACACAAATACTCTGGACCCCTTTTTGATTTGTTTAAGACCACAAATTTTAAAAGTCTTCATTTTTTCTTAAACTCTGTGCCCAGTCAAACATGTTTACATAAATTGGAACGGAAGGAGTAAGACATATGCTTAGTATTTGATTCTTCTTTTCTTTTTTCTTCTTAAAATAACTGTTTATGAATGTATTATTTTGATCATTTGTTTAGCAATTCGTGTACTTGTAAAATATTCTTTTATATCTTCCATTAGGTAGTTGTGATTTTCTTTTTCATAAATCATAATTCGTAGATTTGCTCTAGTTATTGACCCTCCAGTAGTTTTTACAATTACAAAAGATTCTCCTATGGTAGAATTTCTCCAATGAAATAGATATGCTATTAATAATAAATAAGAAAAATTTCCTGCTCAAACTTAAAAGTTAAGGAAAGTTATAGTAATACTTTTCCAATCGGAACAGGATATCAATTTAAACTGCCGATTAAGAAAATATTTTTAATATTCCCAAACATTCAGGCCAAGATTCTGAAAAGTGTTATGAAATTACTTTCCGTGTAGTGGTGATATGTGATTGAAAGTGCTCTTGTCCGTATTGAATTGTTATTATTTGGAACTTCCGAATATGTGAGAAGTTTAAAATTGATTAAGATTAGACATTGATGCAAATTCATATTAGATAACGTTTTAATATTACAATTTTATCCTATATGGAATTATTTTTTGAAGAAGTATTTTAACTTTTTAAGGATATAACAGTCGATCAACATTTTGAAAATATTTTCATCGTTCAATTAGCGTGAAACATTCGTGTATTTATTATTATTATTATTATTATTATTATTATTATTATTATTATTATTATTATAGCTCAAAGAGGTGGAGTTAGAATTTGAATCTTATGAGTTCGGAATTTTAATTCTTTTAAGTTATTGGGCAAATTAATAATTTGTATATATTTATTGAATTTTTTACAGGCCGAATTTGCGACCAATACTGTGGCTCCGCCCCTGAATTAACTCAAAATTTTTTGGGGGGAAGTGAACGGTTAGCCACTAATAGCACATGTATTTACTTTTAAGCCACTATTTAAAATGTCTTTAGTCTTTAGCCACTGCTTTAATAATTTTTAACTGCCCGAACGAAAATACCCTTCTGCTCATGTCCTTAACTTTTGAACTTAACTTCAGGATTACATGTCCTTAACTTTTGAACTTAACTTCAGGACTTCAGGACTACATGTCCTTAACTACAGGACTTCAAGACTACATATCCTTAACTACAGGACTTCAAGACTACATATCCTTAACTTTTGAACTTGTAACACTAAGTAAATACCACTTTAAAAAATGGCTACCCCATATAATTTTTACAAATTTTTGCTGTGGTAATTAAAGGCCGTAAAGGCCTTCTATTGTTTCATTCAATATTATTTGGGACTAGCCCTTAATCTACACTTCTTGATTTTTCTTGTATTTGTTCAATATGCTACTTTTTTTCTTGGAGTGTCCAGCTTAGTTTTACTATTTACCAAGCACTTGTCTGTTGCTTTAGTAGCAAGTTTAGAAAATAATGCAAAACTCTGTACCTTTAAATTTTCTGATCTTTTAATATATATCAAAATAAAGAGGGAGACAGCTAAGTTGTGAAAACGAGACAAAAAATGTAGTGCTTAGGATTCCACTTTCAAGAATGTAGAGGATCAGTCCAAACTTAAGCTATAATTAATAACAGAATTCTAATATAATTCAAGAACACTTTTAGGGTAGGCCCCACCATGCCCTATAATGAAGTTTTGATAAAAGCAAAAGGCAGACCTAGCACTAATACACATGAATTTCTTTTTTGAAAGAGAAAAATAAAATTTATCATCTAATTCCATGACTGCTAGCTATATACAGTCATAGCAATTGAAAATAACATTTGCTAAAGCACACAGTAAGGCAGTTAGACAAACCATACTAGTTCGAGAGGTACTCTTGGCATTGAACAGGTAAAATAAAGTTTTTAGTAGCTACTAGCTAGTTTATGATAGGAATATTAATGTTCTCCAAGTTCTTAAGCATTTTCTTGTTCCTTGTTGTGCTTTGCAGCTTTCAGAAATGGAGATTGGCTTAGCAGTTGGAGGTGCATTTCTATCTTCAGCTTTGAATGTTCTCTTTGATAGGCTTGCTCCTCAGGGCGAGCTGCTGAAGATGTTTCAGAGGGACAAACATGATGTTCGATTATTAAAGAAGCTGAGAATTACCTTGCTTGGTCTTCAGGCTGTTCTATGTGATGCAGAGAATAAGAAGGCATCAAATCAATACGTGAGCCAGTGGCTTATTGAGCTTCAAGATGCTGTGGACAGTGCCGAAAACTTAATGGAAGAAATCAATTATGAAGTTCTGAGAGTTAAGGTGGAAGGTCAGTATCAAAATCTTGGAGAAACAAGCAACCAGCAAGTAAGTGACCTCAACTTGTGCTTGAGTGATGAATTTTTCCTTAACATAAAGGAGAAGTTGGAGGACGCCATTGAAACATTGGAGGAGTTGGAAAAGCAAATTGGTCGCCTTGACCTAAAGGCATATCTTGACTCGAGTAAACAAGAAACTAGAAAACCTTCAACTTCTGTGGTTGATGAATCTGATATCTTTGGTAGGCAGAATGAAATAATGGAATTGGTTGACCGCTTATTGTCTGTTGATGCAAACGGAAAAAATTTGACTGTAATTCCTATAGTTGGAATGGCTGGGGTTGGCAAGACAACACTTGCTAAAGCTGTTTACAACGATGAGAACAAGGTGAAAGACCATTTTAATTTGAAAGCTTGGATCTGTGTGTCTGAACCATATGATGCTTTTAGAATAACAAAAGGGTTACTTCAAGAAATTGGCTCATTTGACTCTATGATTGATAACAATCTTAATCAGCTTCAGATAAAATTGAAGGAAAACTTAAAGGGAAAAAAGTTTCTTATTGTTTTAGATGACATTTGGAATGAGAACTATAATGAGTGGGATGACTTGAGAAATCTTTTTGTACAAGGGGAGAAAGGAAGTAAGATCGTTGTGACGACACGCAAAGAAAGCATTGCCTTAATGATGGGAAGTGGGCCAATTAGGGTCGGGACTCTGTCGGGTGAAGTTTCTTGGGATTTATTTGAAAGACATGCATTAGAAAACAGGGATCCTAAGGGCCTTTCAAAACTTAGACATGTTGGAATACAAATTGCAAACAAATGCAATGGATTGCCGTTAGCTCTAAAGACACTTGCTGGTTTGTTACGCTCCAAATCGGATGTTGAAGAGTGGAGGCACATTTTAAGAAGCGAAACATGGGAATTACCAAACTGTCCAAATGGCATCTTGCCAGCATTGATGTTGAGCTACAATGATCTTCCTGCATATTTGAAGCGATGCTTTTCCTATTGTGCAATATTTCCCAAAGATTATTCATTTTGCAAAGAACAAGTTATTCATTTGTGGATTGCCAATGGTCTCATACAGCGGTTCCATAAAGATGAAAATATTGAAGATTCTAGCATCCAATGCTTTCTCGAGTTGAAATCAAGATCATTGTTTGAAAGGGTCCCAAATTCTACTCAAAGAAGCAACATAGAGAAATACCAAATGCATGACCTTGTCAATGATTTGGCTCAAATTGCATCTGCAAAACTTTGTATCAGGTTGGAAGACAACGAACCATCTCATACGTTGGAAAGAAGTCGACACCTGTCATATTCAATGGACCATGGTGACCTTGAGAAGTTGAAACCCCTTTACAAATTGGAACAATTGAGGACATTGCTTCCGTTAAGTATCCAACCACATAGTTCAATTAAGCTAAGCGAGAGGGTGCTGCATAACATATTGCCAACACTAAAATCCTTAAGGGCATTGTCATTGTCTCGTTATGCTATCAAGGAGTTGCCAAGTGTCTTGTTTATCAAATTAAAACTCCTAAGATTTTTGGATCTTTCTCGGACAATGATAAAAATGTTACCAGATTCAGTTTGTCTATTGTATAACTTAGAGACACTACTTTTGTCATCGTGTGATTATCTCATAGAGTTACCGCTGCAATTGGAAAACTTGATCAGCTTGCGTCATCTTGACATTAGCGGCAGTTCTCTCTTGAAGTTGTCTCTACATCCAAGTAAGTTGAAAAGCCTCCACGTGTTACGGGGAGCTAGATTTCTTCTGGGTGGATACAGTGGTTCAATAATTGGAGAGTTGGGTGAACTACATAACTTGTATGGTTCTGTATCGGTTTTAGCATTGCAAAATGTGGTCGATAGAAAGGAAGCTCAGAAGGCAAACATGAGGAAGAAGGAATATATTGAGGAGTTATCATTGGAGTGGAGTGAGAGTATTGCTGACAATTCACAAATTGAAAGAGATATACTTGATGATTTACAACCAGATACAAACATAAAAGAACTCCAAATCACTGGATATAGAGGGACAAAATTTCCTAACTGGCTAGCTTATCCTTCGTTTCTTAAACTGGTGAAATTGTCTCTTATCAAGTGCAAGGACTGTGATTCCTTGCCAGCTCTAGGACAAATTTCTTCTTTGAAATTCCTTACTATTAAAGGGATGCATCGAGTATTAGAGGTGACCGAAGAATTCTATGGCACTTCTTTTTTCAATAAGCCCTTTAACTCTCTTGAGAAGCTGGAATTTTCAGAGATGCTGGAGTGGAAGCAGTGGCATCTACTTGGAAATGGAGAGTTCCCTATACTTCGGGACCTTTCAATTGAAAATTGCCCCAAGTTGATGGGGAAGTTGCCTGAAAATCTTTCTTCTTTGATAGAATTGAACATTTCAAAATGTCCTCAACTCATTTTGGAGACACCTGTTCAACTTCCATATTTAAAAATGTTTCGAGTAGTTGGTTCTCCTAAGCTTGGAGTTCTTTTTAATCGTGCTGAGTTGTTTACATCCCAACTTCAGGGGCTGAAACAGATAGCTGAACTATATATTATTGATTGTCACGCTCTCACCTCCTTACCTATTAGCAGTCTACCAGATACTCTAAAGAGAATATGGATGTATCGTTGTGGGAAGTTGAAATTGGAGTCGCCAGTTAGTGAGATGATTACTAGCGGACATAACATGTTTCTCGAGAGCTTCAGATTACATAGGTGTCATTCCATAGATGATATATTACCTGAGTTGGTCCCAAGAGCACACTCTTTGAGTGTGGATGGTTGCCCCCGCCTTACAAGGCTTTTGATTCCCACTGCGACTGAAGTTCTCGGTATTTATAAATGTGAGAATCTTGAAATACTTTCAGTGGCACGCGGGACTCAGATGACATCGTTGCATACTTTGGTTATTAGAGACTGCCAGAAGCTGAAGTCGATGCCAGAACGTATGCAGGAACTCCTTCCATTTCTTAAAAAACTGGAACTGCATAATTGTCCCGAAATCAAGTCCTTTCCTGAAGAAGGTTTACCGTTCAGCTTAGGAGTCCTTGTGATCGACGATTGCAAGAAACTGGTGCATGGCCGAAAGCAATGGCATTTACAGAGACTCCCTTATCTCACAGAGTTAACCATCTTTCATGATGGCAGTGATGAAGAGATTCTTGCTGATGAAAATTGGGAGCTTCCTAGCTCAATTCGAATTCTTATGATTTACAATCTGAAAACATTGAGCAGCCAAGTTCTCAAAAATCTCACCTCTCTTATACATCTACTTATTGGTAGTTTACCTCAAGTTTGGTCACTATTGGAAGAAGGGCTTCCCTCTTCTCTTTGTTACCTATCATTATATGATCATCCTGAGCTCCATTCACTACCGACTGAAGGTCTTAGGAGCCTCACTTCGCTTCAATGTCTAAGGATCGACAAGTGTCCTAATCTCCATTCTCTTCCAGAATTAGCGCTGCCCTCTTCCCTCATTGAGCTGCGTATCGATCGTTGTCCTAATCTCAAACCCCTACCATTAAAAGGAATGCCACCTTCCATCTTTGAACTATCTATTTCTGAATGTCCGTTGAGAAAACCACGTCTAGAATTTGAGAAGGGGGGTTACTTTGCTCATATATCCGAAATATATATCGATGGTGAATGCCTGTAATGATTAAAAGGAATGGTGCAACAACAGATGTAAGTGATTCTTCTTTCTCAGTAGTTTTCTTTTTTTCATTACTTCTATTGGCTTGTTTATTATTTCTTTTTCATTATTAAATCATGTTGAGCAGTGTATAGTGTCCATTTCCACTATGACGCCGTGTAATCAGCTTCAGAGAGGGATGAATTTCAAGTTAGATAACAAAAAAACGGTACGTAGTAATATGTTGCAACTACAGAATTTTTTATAAATGTGCTGAAACATTGTAAAAGAAACCTGGTATAGGTAGGAACATTGAAATAATTTGCTCTTGAAAGTTTTGTACCATAATGTAATGTTAATGAACGATAAATCTTTTACCATGCATATACGCAGATATGTGAACCGCGGGATATGCATTGTCTTTCAAACTTTGAAGAATCTTACTTCAGGATTCTTAGTTCAGGTAGTGTTTGAACTTTCATCTTAATAGCAACGTATTGTTCTTGTCGTTTCCCTTTTTCCACTGAGTTGAGAAAGGAGGTGGTTTAGAGTTGAACATGTTCAATTTTGAGCTTTCATCTGTCTAGTGTGAGTTGAAAGCTGATAACATAACGTAATGCTAATGTACTTACAAATCTTTTCCCAGTCATATAGGTCGATATGTCAGCGATGTGAGCACATGATTTTTGCCTTATACTAATTATTCTAAAATAATTCCTTAAATTAGGTCTTTTCTTTAATTATGTGTTATTTTTAGGAAATATTGTACGGTTTTCCTGTTTGTTTGCATAGGTATATGTGCGTGTGTAATTTTATTAATGCATTTAAAATACAAAATAATAATAATAATAATAATATAATATGTGTTGTATGTGCATTTAGAATTTAGTTTTTTAATTTAGGAATTAACAGGTTTGTTTTACAAAAAAAAAAAAAAAAAAAAAAAAAAAAGAAGAAGAGGGAAATAAAAAATTATGCATTTATCTTATTTTTGTCATTTAAATGTGTCATTGTGTGATTAATGTTTTGTCTTGTGTGTTAGTGGTTGTTAAAGGGTAATTAATATTTTTGTAAGGGTGATTTTGATTTTTATAATTAAAATTAGGAATTTAATAATTAGGAATTAAAGGGAAAATAGGAAACAAAAATTGGGTTGGGCCGTTTTAATTGATAAAAATGAGGCCCAAAATGTGTAATGACCTAGTCCAGGACCAGATCTCTCAGCAGTCTCCTAAACGACGCTGTTTGAATGCTTTCAATTTGGACCATTGATTAGTTAGATCCAACGGTCCCGATCAATCCTCTATACCCGATCCACCTTACCCCGGGCCAAACCATACCCCAACCAAATTCAAAACGACATCGTTCCTTTTAAGAGAATTGATCCAGG